ATTATTATCATCATTATTATTACTATTCCTCCCTCCTTGATCATCTTCCACTTTTCTTCTGTCTCCCCTCCTTCTTCCTCAGCTCTTCTTCCTTCTCCCTCCTTTCCCGTATTTGTTCCTTCCACTCCTTCCCTTCCACCATCTTCCTTTCGTCCCTCCTTTCCTTCTCTTTCTCTTTTCTTTCCTTCCTTTCGTTCTTACTTTCTTCCTACTTTTCGTTCTTACTTTCTTCCTTCCATCTGAGTCCCTCTCCTTCTTCCTTCCTCTTTTTTCCTTCTATCTTAGCCCCTCCCCTTCTTCCTTCCACCCTCCTCCTCTTCCACCCTCACCTTTATGTGCAGGAGTTAAGTGTCATTTGCCAATCCACTTGAACCCTCCCCTCCACCCCTTACCTCTCCCCTCCCCTCCCCTCGCTTACTTTAACTTTACTTTAACTTCACTTCACTTCATTTCCCTTCCTTTCCCTTCCCTTTACATCCTTTCCCCCTTTTCCCATTCCCTCCCTTCCCCTCCCCTTCCCTTATCTTTTTTCCTTTTCCTAACCTTCTCCTCCCTTCCCTTTCTCTTCCCTCTCCTATCTTCGGTTCCCTTCCCTTCCCTTGGAGTGGGAAGAGGAAATACCAATGCCGGAGACATAAAGAAGGGAAGGGGGGATGATTAAAGGAGGGAGAGGGGGAGGGTAAGGAGAGAGGGGAGAGGGAGAGAGGGGTAGGGTGAGAGGGGTGTAGGAGGGAGGAGAGAGAGAGAGGGAGAGAGAGAGAGAGAGAGAGGGAGGGAGAGAGAGAGAGAGAGAGAGAGAGAGAGAGAGAGAGAGAGAGAGAGAGAGAGAGAGGAGAGAGAGAGAGAGAGAGAAGAGAGAGAGAGAGAGAGAGAGAGAGAGAGAGAGAGAGAGAGAGAGAAGAGAGAGAGAGAGAGAGAGAGAGAGAGAGAGAGAGAGAGAGAGAGAGAGAGAGAGAGAGAGAGAGAGAGAGAGAGAGAGAGAGAGAGAGAGAGAGAGAAGAGAGAGAGAGAGAGAGAGAGAGAGAGAGAAAGAGAGAAAGACAGACATATAAACGGAGACTACCAGGCAGACAGACAGACAGACAGACGACACTCGGACTTAGCCACCTACACGAGGGATTACCAATAATCACACATGATCCCGGCATTGCAAGCGTCGAGTCTGCAACAGCTCTCAAAACGGCCCTCAGGAAAGGAGAGGCCGAAAGAGCCTTTTCCACCCCCCCCCCCTAAAGAAAAAAAAGAAAAAGAAAAAGAAAAAAAAAAAATAGGCCGCCACACGCCATAGCCAAGCGCCTGCAGCCGCGATGTGATGTGTCCCTCTCGGAATGACGCGACGTCGGGAACTAACGGCATCGCAGGGAACGTCACGTCACGTCATGTCAGCACATCTCGTTTCTTCCTCTTCTTCTTTCTTCTTTCTTCTTCTTCTTCTTTGCGTGAGGTGCGAGCGCGGCGAGTTCTTAAATATCGTGTGAGGCCCTGTTCGCGCACAAACGCGTACATGCACCCAAGGCAACGCGCGCACTCGCACATGCACGCACATCGACATCCACCCCCAAACACACAAGCACTCATACAAACAAATAAACAAACACATCCACATACAAACAGAAAAACACACATCCATACAACAAACGCACACAAACCCGCACACATACAAACAAACGCACACAAACCCGCACACATACAAACAATCGCACAAGTAATTTACAAACAAACACACACACGCAATCAAAGTCAATTGAAACTTCACATTCCCATCAAATTGGCAGAGGATTTGGCGTGTGCATCAACAGACCCCCCCCCCCCTCCACCGCCACCGAGAGAGGAAAGATTTTTTACGGCCTACACCGCAATAGCTTGTAATGACTACATTGCAGGCTATTTGAAAAAAAACTTGCTTCACGTTTATCCGTGAAACGTGACCAAATTCAAGAAATCCCAGCCATGAGGAATATATTACACTATATTTTCATCATCAAATCTCTTATATTTTCCCCCAAATTACTTATCCACCATAATCTAAAGAAAAGCCAACACTAAAAAAAAATATAAAGGCCTATACTGCAGGACATTAGAATTCCTCGCACGTAGATAGGCCTACATTCCTGAAGCTTGGGTCACGCTGTAGTCGTCTCTGTCAAGTCAAGTCAGCTGACTAATCAAAAACTGTAGCTGACCAGACTTCGGCGAGGCTGTCTAGGGATCCCAGGACAGAGAAGACTAGTGTGACCGTTGCTGAAAACGTCTGCTCGCTCTGAAACATGGCGGGAGCGACTGCGAATTACTGCAGTCTGCTGAATACATATACGCGTGGGGAAAACAGCCTCTGGTCTCGACGAGGAAGCAAGAAAATAAAGAAAAAAGAGTGGGGGAGGAGGAAGGAGAGGGAGGCGAGGCGTAGGATAGAGACGGGGAGAGGAAGCAGGAGAGGTAGAGGGAGAGGAGAGCGAGGGAGGAGGGAAGGAGATGGAGAGGGAGAGGAGGGAAAGGGAAAGGGAAAGAGAAATAGAGAGAGAGATAGAGAGAGAGAGAGAGAGAGAGAGAGAGAGAGCGAGAGTGAGTGAGTGAGTGAGTGAGTGAGTGAAGTGAGAGAGTGAGTGAGTGAATGAGTGAGTGAGTGAGTGTGAGTGAGAGAGTGAGTGAGTGAGAGTGAGAGTGAGAGTGAGAGAGAGAGAGAGAGAGAGAGAGAGAGAGAGAGAGAGAGAGAGAGAGAGAGAGAGAGAGAGAGAGAGAGAGAGAGAGAGAGAGAGAGAGAGAGAGAGAGAGACAGACAGACAGACAGACAGACAGACAGACAGACAGACAGACAGACAGACAGACAGACAGACAGACAGACAGACAGACAGACAGAGCGAGCGAGCGAAAGCCAGTAAGCAAAAAGAGATGCTCCGCCGTACGTTTCGGGCGGGAAACCCCCCGGCGTGCGTAACCTTGAGTCGTGTTATAATTTCATTCGCACAGCCCACAGCAGACGGCCAGTCAATATTCACAGGGCGTGCAACGGCCACTCTCCCCTCCCCTACCCCCTCCCACGCTTCCCCCTTCCCCTTCCTCCTCATTTCCCCTTTCTCCTCCCCCTCTCCCCTTTCCCCTTTCCTTTCCTTTCCACCTTCCGCCTCCTCTTCTTCATTTCCCCTCCATTCTTCCCACCTCCTTTCCCTTCCTCTCCACCTCCCCTCCCCTTTCCCCTTTTTCCTTCTCCCTTCACAGCCCTTTCCCTTTCCCCTTTTTCCTTCTCCCTTCACAGCCCTTCCCTTTTCCCCTTCCACCTCCCCTTTATCCTCCTTTTCCCCTTCCACCTCCTCTTTATCCTCCTTTCCCTCCTTTTCCCCTCCCCCAAACACGGATCTCCTTCCCCCCACACAGCTCATATTCCCCTAAAAACACAAACCGCTTTCTCCCTCAGTCGCAACTTTTGCCTTTTATTTCGAAAAGTCGCTTTGGCTGATTCACGAAGGGGAAAAAAAACTTTCTCAGAGCCAATGTATCTGCTTTCATTTCTCTCTCTTCTCTCTTTTATTCTTTCTTATTTTCAATCTCGTTTTTTAAACTTTTGTCTCTCTCTCTCTCTCTCTCTCTCCTTCTCATCCCCTCTCCCCTCTCTCTCTCCTTCTCATCCCCTCTCCCCTCTCTCTCTCCTTCTTATCCCCTCTCCCTCTCCTCCTCCTCTTCCCCTCTCTCTCTCTCCTTCTATCCCCTCTCCCCCTCTCTCTCTCTCCTTCCCTATCCTCTCTCTCTCTCCTTCCCTATCCTCTCTCTCTCTCCTCTCCCCCCTCTCCCCTCTCTCTTCTCCTCCCCCCCTTCTCTCTTCCCACAGTGCCTCTTCAAGCGAAAAAACTCAGAAGCAGGAATATAAAGCGCAGCCACGTGGGATCCCCTTTGTGTCTTCAAGTGGCACCTCACCCCCTTCCCCCCCCCTCTCTCTCTCTCTCTCTCTCTCTCTCTCTCTCTCTCTCTCTCTCTCTCTCTCTCTCTCTCTCTCTCTCTCTCTCTCTCTCTCCTTCCTATTCCTATTCCTCCTCTTCTTCTTTCTCTTTAACGTTCTTTTCCTCCTCTCCCTTACCCTCCTCTCCTACTTTCTCCTAATCCTCTTCCTCTTTCTCTTCCTAGTCTCCATCTCCACCTCTTCCTCTCCCTTTTCCTTTTCCTCTTCATCTTCCCCCTTCACCTCCATCTATCTCCACCTCCTTCTCCTCCTCCTCCTCTTCCCTCTCTCTTCCAGCTTGGTATACTCACAGTACTTACATCCTGAAGTACCCTACATACTTGACTGGGGATCATACGTATAAAGTGTACGTAAGCAGGGAAGGAGAGGGGAGGGAGGGGAGGAGGAAAGGTAGGGGAGGGAGGGGAGGGGAGGGGGAGGAGGGGAGGGGGGGAGGGGAGGGGAGGGAGAGGAGGGAGGGAGGGAGGGAGGGAGGGAGGGAGGGAGGAGGGAGGAGGGAGGGAGGGAGGGAGGGAGGGAGGGGAGGGGAGGGGAGGGGAGGGGAAGGAGAAAGGGAGAGGGTTAGGAGGAAGGGAGAGGGATGATTTTTATTAGCCGAGGAGCGGGGCCATTTTCGAAACTCAAGTACGCCGCATTATGGTCATATGTACCCGCGATCATCATATATAAAATATATTATAAACACGTATCAAATTCGTCGGTGTGATAACATCTACGCTCCTCTCCCCCCCCCTTCCCCCTCCCAACCCCCTCTTTCTATCCAAAGAGGGCCGAATTTTATCGGGCAGCGGCCATCTTTGAAACTCGACTACAACCGCCCTATAACATTATCTAAGCATATCACATACCCATCAAAATAAAAAAAATAAAAAATAAAAAATAAAAAATATACAATAAAAAAATCACCACCAATAATCTTCTCTCATACCCCCCACCCATACCCACTCAATCACCCCCACCCCCCTCCACCAAACCCGCCCATGACAAACCCGCCCGCCGAACCGCCCCCGAAATCCCCGCCCACCGCCCACCGCCACCGCCCACTGACCTCTCTGATCTCCTTGGCGGCTCCCTTGTACTGGTGGAGTTCCTGGATGATCTCCTGGGACACCTGCAGCACCCGGGCCACGTCCTTGTACAGGTCGGCCTCAGCTTCGCTCGGCGACGCGTCTGTTCGGGAGAGAAGAAGAAAAAAAGGGACTTTTAAATTTCGTTTTATAGTCGTGCTTCTTTGTTGTCTCGTGTCTCTACTTCCACTCACTTTCCAAATTTCTCTCCCACTCCCTCTCCTCTCCCCCTTCCCCCTCCATCTCCTTCTCCCTCTCCCACTCCATTTGATTCCTCTTATCTTCTACTTGCCTCTCTCTCACTCTTCACTTATTTTACTCTCCTTCCTCCATCCTCCCTCCCTCCCTCTCCTCTCTCCCTTCCTCTCCCTCTCCCTCCCTTCCCTCTCCTCCTGCCTCCCTCCCCCCTCTCTCTCCCCTCTCCTTCTCTCTGTCTCCACACTGTTGCATCTGTGATTAAATCTGGATAAACAAACCATTCCGGATTCCCTCTCCCATCTGCATCAGTCCCACTCTGTCTGAATCCTCCTCATCCCCGCCAGTCATGTCAGTTAGTCTGTCGGTTACGTTTCTGTTTCTGTTGTGTGTGTTTGTTGTTTGTGTGTGTGTGTGCCGTGTGTGTGGCGTGTGTGTGTGTGTGCGCGTGTGTGTGTGGTTGTGTTGATGTGTGTGTGGTGTGTGTGTGTGTGTGTGTGTGTGTTGTGTGGGTGTCGTGTGTGTGTGTGTGTGTGTGTGTTGTGTGTGTGTGTGTGTGTGTGTGTGTGTGTGTGTGCTTCCATGTCCTGGTGCATTGTGCATGTGCGTGTTTATGTCTGTGCCTATTATTCTATCTACATACCTTTATCTAATCTATCTTATTTTCCTCTATTCTATCCGCTATCTCTACCTCTACCTCTCTATCTGTCTATCTATCCATCTCTTACTATGTCTCTCTCTCTCTCTCTCTCTCTCTCTCTCTCTCTCTCTCTCTTCTCTCTTCTCTCTTCTCTCTCTCTCTTCTCCTCTCTCGTCTCTTCTCTCTCTCTCTCTATTGCATTCTCTCTCTCTCTATTGCATCTCTCTTCTTCTATGCATCTCTCTCTCTACTGCATCTCTCTCTCTATGCAATCTCTCTCTCTCCATGCAATCTCGTTCTCTCTCTATGCAGTCTCTCTCTCTATGCACTCTCTCTCTATGCATCTCTCTCTTATGCATTCTCTCCTCTCTATGCATCTCTCTCTCTATGCATCTCTCTCTCTATGCATCTCTCTCTCTATGCATCTCTCTCTCTCTATGCATCTCTCTCTCTATGCATCTTCTCTTCTATGCATCTCATCTCTCTCTATGCATCTCTCTCTCTATGCCATCTCTCTCTTATGCATACTCTCTCTCTATGATCTCTCTCATCTATATTGTACATCTCTCTTCTCTATTGCATCTCTTTCTTCATATGCACTCTGTGCGCGCTAGCATCTCTCTCTCTATGCATCTCTCTCATCTATGCCATCCTCTTCTCTCTATGCATCTCTCTCTGCTATGCATCTCTCTCCGCGAGCATCTCTCTCTCTACACCCTGCCAGCATCTCTCCTCTATGCATCTCCTCTCTATGCATCTCTCTCTCTCTCTCCCTCCCTCCTCTTCCTCTCTCCCCCCTCTCTCCCCTCGTTCCGCTCCCCGTGCTCCTGCCCCCTCCGCCCCTTCATCGCCGCGTCGATCGGACCTCCCGTCTCCCTCTCCCATCTCCGCTCAGGCTGC